GAGAAGATGTGGGTGTTGGAGATGAGCTTCCCACCAAGCATGTCAGGGACATTCATCAGGAGGTGAGGGTCCAGGTGACCGCCAAGACCTTAGACAGCGGTTCTCAACCTGTGGGTCACGACCCCTTTGGGGGTCGAACGACCCATAAACAGGGGTCGCCTAAGACCATCGGAAAACACACATATAATTACATACTGTTTTTGTGATTAATCACTATGCTTTAATTATGTTCAATTTGTAACAATCAAATTGGGGGTCACCACAACATGAGGAACTGTAGTAAAGGGTCGCGGCGTTAGGAAGGTTGAGAACCACTGCCTTAGAAGGAAGGGGAATGAGTGTGAGAAAACAGACCTCGTCTCATTCCCATTTGCTCGAAGATCAGTGACAACCTGTACAGACGTCAGGCACCCAGGCTGAGCCTTACTCACTGTGGTGCTGCTCTGAACATGGCTGTGTGTTTCTACCAGTAAAATCCCTTAAACTCATGTTGGCTCCAGAGTGTCAGGGGCGGAGATTGAGTTCTTTGGAGCAGGCCGTAGGGTGAGGGACTCGGCAGTGAGTGCAGGGGACAGCAGAGGGAGGTGACAGAAGCACCTGGAGGGACATGGAGGGGAGAAGAGGGGATGTTCGTGTCCATGGAGACGTGGCTCAGGCCATTAAGTTGCATGAGGATTACAGTCCGTTTCAGGCCCTGTGACCTCAGAGCTGGGATCTCCGATTCCAAATGAACATACTCATACTCTCAACCAGGAGCAAGTGTCCTTGAACTTGAAAGATGTTTTCCAGGAAGGACAAGCACATGCTTCACAGTGGCTGCCCTCTCCTGCTTCGGATCCAAGGGTGCTTGTCTGCCTAATGGTGGGACTGAAACGATAGGCTGTGTGGGGACCAAGGTCAAATACGGTCGTCTGCATAGATTTGCGTCCTGAGGCTCTGGCAAGGTGGCCCCTCTCGGCACCCACTCTGGAGCCTCCCTGCCCTCAACCTGGCACAGGACCCCAGGAGTGAACATGCAGAGGAGACTGCGTAGGCCAGAGTACAGAGGACGGAGCCAGTCTGGTGAGTGGTGTGAGTGGGCGGGTGACGGAGGGATGGGACACCAGGGTCCTGGGAGGGCGAGAGAACCTGCCTCCAGGTGGGGCTTCTAGGACCTGTTTCGGAAGCACACGGCAGAGCTTCTGGGTAAGGGAAGGGCCACTCCTGTGATCGGGAAATTAGCTAGTTATTAATATCAATAAAGGGAAGAAGCAGAGGGGAGTCAGTCACTGTGGGCGTGGTCACCTGGGAAGCTCACACACACGTTGCTGCTCCAAGGGGATTGCTCCTCCCTCCCCCATCCCGTACTGGACTGCTGTGGGGAGAAGGGGGAGGGGGCACACACGCAGTGAAGTTGGGGTGATGTAGGGAAGATGCTGGCCTGGGGAACACTGGATGGGCCAGGAGGAGGGCCCCATCAGAAACGCGTGAAATCTTGCAAAGTTAAAATCCCCACGAGCGCCCACTCTCTTGCGTGCTCTTGCTCTTGCTCTCTCTTGATCCAGGACTCACGCTCCCCTGTGCGCTCACCTATTTCTCCCTCCACATCTGTTTTTCTTTTTTCTCTGTGTTTTTTTCTTCCTTATCAGGCTCCCTCTTCATGTCAACCATGTAACATACAAATATTTTGAAGTATTACCCTGTATTTATTAAACTTGATTTCAATGAAAATTTAAAAGCCTGTTAATATCTATGTCTCTTGTTTGCCCTTTTATTTTTTGAAAATATATTTTTATTGATTTCAGAGAGGAAAGGAGAGGAAGAGAGAGATAGAAACATCAATGATGAGAGAGAATCATTGATTGGCTGCCTCCTGCATGCCCTACACTGGGGATCGAGCCTGCAACCCAGGCATGTGCCCTGGCCGGGAATCAAACCGTGACCTTCTGGTTCATAGGCTGATGCTCAACCACTGAGCCACGCCAGCTGGGTTTGTTTGCCTTTTTAAAAAATGACTGAGTTGATTAATGGCACATGAGAGAAAGGAACGTTCCCCGTTCCTGTTCTAGAAGATGAAGAGGTCACCCACCCCATTCCCGGCCTTGCCCACCCACCTGCAGCAGTCGACCCCTATGGTGATGGAAGACTCGGGCTTTCCCCCCAGTTCTAGTTAAACATGGATGTTCTAGGAACCAGATGGCGTTTGCTCTGCAGTTGAACAAGCAAAGCATTTCCTGGCTCGAGAAAGCCATTCTGTGCACAGTGTCCTGGGCATTTGTGCTTCTGTTTATGTCCCTTTCCTCTGGTGGCCTTGGCTTTTATGCTCCCATCAAATTTAGTGTGTAGCACTTGTGTGTTAATCCTTTGATTAACTGGTTGGTTCTCCCTACATAATTATGTATTTATTTCCTTGTAGATTTCCTATGTAGGATGAATGTGGAGCTGTATATAACATTATTCATGAGTTTAACTTTGATGAAATATTTATCAGTATTGATTGCCTGATGAACTCTCATAGCGAGAGCCTAAAAGAGTTAGAGCATGTCTTATGCATTTTATAATGTTCTATATCTTTGTAAGGATCGGTGAACTGGAATGGTGAGTAGAATTCCAAAGTCTGCTCTCAAATTTTGAATTTCCTTGTGTATTGAACACATCTGTGCAATTTTTCTTTCTTTCTTTCTTTCTTTTTTTTTTTTTTTTTGCTAATCCTCACATGAGGATATATTTTCATTGATTTTTAGAGACCTGGAAGGTAGGGGGAGAAACAGAGAGAGAGACATCATCGATGTGAGAGAGACACATCAATTGGTTGCCTCCCACACGTGCTCCGACCAGTGTTGGTGATCGAGCCTGCAACTGAGGCGCATGCCCCTGACCTAAATCAAACCTAGGATCCTTAGTCCACGTGTGGGCCAACACTCTATCCACTGAGCCAAACCGGTCAGGGCTGTGTGATCTTTTCATAAAGACAAAGCAACTTAGAAGAACGAATGTACCCTTTCATCTACCCAAGGGTTTGGAATTCAGTTTTGACAGAATTCCCTTAAGCCAATGGATTTATCAGTCATTATAGTTATTGCAGAGGCAAACCTGAGATCTAAAACCAACCAACCAGAAGTCCAATGAGCGGTTCTCATTTAAATGCATTTGGATCCAACAGAAGTATAAAAATTAATATACCATTATTGAAGAACCAGTAGGCCCCCTAGAGTGCCTTCAGTGTTTCACAGCTCAGTGAAGCGAGTTAAAAGTAACAGTCACTGAATTTCTACAGGAGCCTCATTGTGAAGCCAGCATTGTAACTCCTGTGCTACACTAGCTTGATCCCCTCACACACTCAAAACTCCCTTCATGACAGTGACGCCGGGCCCCAAGCTAGCCATCCTTCTAGCTCTGAGGCTCTGCGGTCTTTTGTGTTGGTGTCCTTGGACTTGGAGATTAGAACTGAGTCTGCTAAAGTGCCGACACTGTGAATTAGTTGGTGCTGTCCGCGGTCCCACTCCGTATTTTGATGACACAGGCTCATCAGCTTTGCAGTGGTACAGGTAACCTCACTATGCATTTCAGTCAGGCAGGAGAAGAGTTTTAAGATCTTTTCCCCTCCAGAGAACCCATCTGGGGGTCTTTAAACCCCGTGGCAAAGCCTTTGCACGTGTTTCATGTAGAAAGAAGGGTGGAGCAGAGAGGGCAGGGGGTGATACAGAAGAGAGAGTGGAAGAGAGGCAGTAAATATTGTGGACAGTTGGTCTTCACCCATCCCTTTGAGTCATTGTGTAAATGGTGGAATTAGTGTGTGTCAAGACCGATGAAACTGGCCAGGGGTTCTGGGTGAGGAATGAAAGAAATGCAGTGTAAAGAATTTTTTAACATTATCTTTTCTAGGTGAGGGGCAGACCTTTGGGGATAAGGGCTCATTGACCAGCTACAAAAGGACACTTGTATTTTAATAGCTCCATGAATTGAGGAGTGGTAGAAGAGGAAGCAGGTGCCCAGTTAAATGTGGCAAGATTAATAGTGACTTTTGCAGGTCAAATTGAATAAGGTGTTCATGGCCCTAATGGGAATGGAGAAGTGTTTGCAAGCTTCCCTTGAAACTTTAGAGATGAGATCTAGCACCAGGGACAGTGTTTATTTTCAAACAAAAACAGTCCGCATTGTCTGCTTATTTCATAGCCACATGGTCTTTTTTTGTTCTTAATCCTCCCCCAAAGATATTTTTCCATTGATTTTTAGAGAAAGTGGAAGGGAAAGGGAGAGATAGAAAGAAACATCCATGTGAGAGAGATACATCTATTGGTTGCCTCCCACACACAGCCTGACTGGGGCCAGGGATCGAGCCTGCAACCAAGGTACATGCCTTTGACTGGAATCGAACCCGTGACCCTTCAGTCCATAGGCGGACACTCTATCCACTGAACCAAACTGGTTAGGGTGCCACACGGTTTTTAATATTTAAACTTCAACATATAGAATTGTATTTCTCATTTTGTGGGAGGATTTATTTTAATTCTTTTTTCTTAAAAAACATGTATTCTATGTATGTAGCTTAAGAGCTTAGAGCATTATAGCACTGATCCACACCAAAGCTAAATCATTCCAAGCTACTTACACCTCAAGCACTCCATTTTTAATAGTTCTGTTTGAAATTTCGAATCAACACCTGAAAGGTTTAGTGATCATAAATAAAACATCCTTTCCTCTCTTTTGATTCTCCAGCCTATGCAATATCTGCCCATAAAACTTCAGCTGACCTGGTCCAAACTTGCCCAAGGTCAGGTTGAAATAACTCTGGGTCTTGATTCATACATTCAGTAACCACTTTGGCGCAGAACTTGACCCCATGGGTTCCTGAATAATGCACCATGTACCATCGACACAAGGCGACCTGTGTCAAACAGACCTTGGCTATCGCAACAGTGAAAGGCAAGCCAGATCATCACAAGGGCATGTGGTTTGTGTGAGAGTTTGCGGTTTCCCTTGCAAAACCAGAAATCAAGAATAAATTCCAAGTTACTCACTCATGGATTCTGTCAGCTTGGCCATTGCTGCAGGTGCTTCTTTGTGCTTTTCCTGGAGGGGAGAAGAAAAGACAGCCATGTAGGAAACACATTTCAGATATGCATGAACACAATGGGTCTGTTACAGCTCTCTCTCCCTTCTTTTCCTACATTAAAATGTGCTCGCCAATGATGAAAGGAATGAAAAAAAATCTCACGCTATAGCTATACGATCAGTTGGTCACAGAGAAGAGATTTGGGGGCCATTAAAGAACGTGCCCTGCTGTTGGAAGTGCACGTCTGTCGCAGTGATCTTGGATAAATATAATTGGTGACGCATGGCCGGCTTCCGGAACCTCTCTGACACGGGAGCTCTGACATCCACATGCCAGTCCTTTGCGCTCTATTTTCTCCTGTGGAAGCTTTCTGGTATTTTTGGAGCTGGTATTTTTGTAGTCATTTGCTTTCTTTTTTCCCTACGAGCTAAATAGATTTTATACACTTTTCTTTGTCTTGCCTTTTTGACTTCCGGAAATCTTTTTTAAAGGTCGTCACTTCTGATGGGTTTATAACCTTATCTATTCTGGGCTAAAAACATTTTGTTTCAACTGGGATAGAGGTGGCGGCCCACTGAGTGTGAGGGCCAAGGATGCTTGCAGAAATGGAACCTGTCCCAGTGAAGAAGTTACGTAGGTGAGATTAAGAATGATGGTCATCGCTACTACACAGTTCCCTTCACTGTCTTCATGCTTCTTTCATTTCTTGGGGTTCCTGACATGGATCGTAACTGAAATTCTGGCCACTATTATTTTACTTTTTGAAGCCATATTCTTTTTCTGATTATGAAACGAACACACGCCCATTATTTAAAAACACAGAAAATATTGAAAAAATGATAAATTATAGTCATCTCATAATACCACCTGTAGAGGAAACCACTATTATAATTTGGTGAACACATTTCTGTTTTCATTTCAATACCTGTGAATATTTACAGACAGGGCACTATGATCCCATTTCTATAAATATAAATATGTATACTCTGCATACAATGTTGTAAGTTGCTCTTTCACTTACCACCCCATCCTCCATCTTCCTATGGCAATAATGTTAGAATGCATCATCGTTTGAATGACTGTGAAGCATCTGTCATGGGTTATTCCACAAATTCCTTAACCAAGTCCCAGTTTATTTGCATATAGTTTTTCACTGTTTTACACAAGGCTGTGAGGAAGCATCCTTGAGCCCAAATCTTTGTGCACTTGGCCTTCTAAGGGCTAATAAATCTTAGGGCTAGGAATGGCTTGGCCAAAAGGTATGACTATTAAGAATTTTGACAACTGTCCCCACAAAGTTCAGGTCTGATAATGTATAGAAGCGTTTGTTTGCCTACATTCCTGTCACTTGCAAATGGCATTACTATATTCTCCCACCCCCACTCTTTGCCAAAGTGACAGTAAAAAAGTGGGATCTTGCTATTTCATTCTGTCCTTTTTTTTCCCTCTGGCCCTTTTTATGGACAACCAGGCATTCTGTCCCAGCTAATCGGTACATCCCCGGTGCTCAGCTTCCTGGTGCCGTGCCCCAGCCCCCGTGGCATCAACAACAATGTCTGAGAAGCCAAAGAAGGCAGCTATCTTTGCCCACGGCCATAGCACAGTGCTGAGCTCACCACAGCTGCCTGGCCAGCACCTGAGTGACGTGTCACAGCTTGAGTGTAGAAGGACAGCTAACAACCCCATTATTCATGGTCTGGTGTTACTATCCCCAAACTAAAGAGTCTGCTTTGAGTGTCAACAAACAACGTTGAACATCACAAGTCAATGCTCGATTTTCACAAGCCCGGTATTCATAGCAGTGACATCAGGGCACCACCATCTCTTATTTAAACTAATCACTGAGAACAGAAAGAGCTAAGGACCCATCCACCATCCTGCCTGCGATGTGGTTTATGTCGACATGCAGAGAAGTAGCCCCGCTGCTGGGGAGGCTAAGAGTGTCGTGTAGCAGAGACAAGCAAGGCAGGAGCAAGGAGCCTGTCACAGCCACGTGGGTCCATAGGAGTGCACAGACTTCCTCAAAGACAGGTGGACCCCAGTGGTTTGTGAAAATTCATGCATAGAAGCAACTCCATGGTGAGAGCTCAACGGACTTCATCCTTGACCTCTGGGACTTCGTCCTGTCTCTGCCTGCTCCGTCCTGGATTCTCCACTCCCCCTCTCAGTCCTGCTGCGGTTCCATTTCTCCTGTGTCCTGCCCCGTGCCCCCCCCTTTCCACCCCCTTCTCTGGCGCCTTGCCCCATAGTCCTCACTCTGGGACACTGATCGGCTTGGCTCAGCCCTCCTCGATGGCTCCAGTGGTGAGACTCCCCAGACCACAGGCTCCCAGGTCCCTCCCACCTCATCCTTATAAAGCTCTGTCTGGTCTGCCTGTCCTCTTGTGGCCACCACTTTGCATCTGGTGACCTAGGACCCTGCCACCTTTTGTACCCCAGTCTCCTGCTGGGTGGTCCTTGCAGCTATTTTTTTTAAAATATATATTTTATTGATTTTTTGCAGAGAGGAAGGGAGAGAGATAGAGAGTTAGAAACATCGATGAGAGAGAAACATCGATCAGCTGCCTGCAGGCCCCCCACTGGGAATGGAGCTTGAAACCCCGGGCATGTGCCCTGACCAGGAATTGAACAATGACCTACTGGTTCATAGGTCAACTCTCAACCACTGAGTTATGGCAGCCAGGTATTGCATTTATTTCCAGTCAGGTGTGTTGGATAGCCTAGTCCTGAGAAATCAGACACCACCGATTTCGGCACATTTCTCTTCCCTGGAGTTAAACAGAAACCACTGACATGGATGGGGTAGGGGACCTTTAAAAATCCTAAATTTCACTCTCTGTTTGACTCATCTATATCATAACTTATGGTGGAAATCATGACATATGTTTCTGGGTGAGTCGTTTAGTCATTCTATGGGGTGTCTTCAAACTCCGTATGTCCTTCCCTCATTATCGGGAAGTTGAGGTTCGCAAGTGCCTGGCACGTGTCCCCATAAGGCATTGACATTTCATTCTCAATCCCAGGCAGACTGTCCTCCTTTTTTAAAGCCAAGAGTTTCCTCCAAAGTACATGTGCTGGGCTTTCAGCGCCGGGAGGAGATTTGGAATGGGAGCACATTAAACATGGAAAGGAGTGTTTCAGAGATTGTCAGGTCCAACCCATGGGCGATGCAATTGGAAAAACTGATGTTTATGCCGAGAAGAGAATTTACACCAGGATGGTCTCTTCCCCTTATCAACAACCTCCACTGCCCCAGAGACCCCGAGGTCCACCACACGCAGACACGATTCCTTCTACAACAGCCCCGGTGCTGTGTTCGCCTTCTCTGTGTCCTTTGTCCAAGGAATCTCATTCGCAACAGTATCCCTGATTTCCACCAATGGATGATGATTTCACATTCATTTATCCAGCTCTGACCTCCCATTTCACTCTGGCTCCCTCACTGGACAGCCCCACCCAGATGCAGTGGATGCTCCAAACCAACACGGGCAAAGCTACGGTCTATTCCCCAACACTCTCCACCAGCAGCCCTGTCCCCCATCCTCTTCAGCGCCTCCCACCCAGGCAAATGTGACCCAGGGGCCCCTGCTCGAAACCTCTCAGTTCCTCTCTAGCATCTAAGGATGCACTCCTTGCCTTTCAGCCAGGATGCTGCCTGGATGCTTCTTTCTAGATTGTCTGCCTTTAGTTAGTGGGGCCACCACCCACCTTGTGCCTAAGCCAGAAATGTGGAACACCCCACCTCTCTTTCTAGAATATGAAATCTGACCTTCTTTAACTGCTGTATCTTAAAGGGACTGTGACTGTGGCTTCTACCTGCCTCTAGCCTCACTTTCAACACTAAGGGACTGCCCAGAAACAGCCCCCAAAGGCCTATCTAAAATACAAATGTGACCCAGGCCCGAAATCTTTCCATTCTTCCCTAGCATCTAAGATGCACTCCTTGCCTTTTAGCCAGAGTGCTGCCTGGATGTTTCTGTCTTCCACACTCACACTCCAGTTAGAGGTACCTTCCTGCCTTGGCAATCCCTGCTTCCTCTCCCTAGAACCCTCAATTTCCTTTTCCTCCTGTGCTCCCCAAACACATCCTACAAACTCCACTGGACACCATTAACCTCCAGTTTCCCCCTCCTCTTCATGGCCATCTTTCCGAATTTTATTTCTAAAAATGTTCGTGCTCCAATGTGGCCGTGTATCACATTGTGTAATGTGTTCTGGTGATAGGAGATCCCAGCACCTTTGGAGAAGCCAAGTCTTGCCTCCCAACAGCCCTTTGGAGGCCCCCACCTGCACAGCTATGGCTGGGAGGCAGTGCGTGGTAGACCAGAAGTCTCCACCACTGAAAGGCTTCCTGCCTGCCAGGGGTCTACCTATCATGAGTGTCAACAGCTAGTGACCATGCACTAGCTGTTGCATGCCCATTTCCAATCTCCTCCATCATAATAGAACCTTCCAGAACATGGACGAACCTCTGGGAAGAGCTGGGTGGGTCCTTTTGCTCTAGGAGGCAGTCCACTTACAACTGTACTGTCACACATTTAACGGAAAGCAGAAACATTTGAAGTTTTGGGGATCCAGGATGACATGTTTAAGCAAAACATGCCCACAGATGTGGAAAAAAAAATCCTAAGTGTCTTGTTAAAATCATATAAAACACCTCGGGAGAGTACTGATCCTCAGTGGGTATGTAATTTTCATTTTGTCTGACTGGATTCTCTCCATCACACCTGGAAATGGAAATAAAAGCTCAGTGGTTTGCTTGGGGTGTGTGTGTGTGTGTGTGTGTGTGTGTGTGTGTGTGTGTGATATTTATACCCGCACTCTGTTCCAGCTAAGGAGAGTGTGGCTTTCTGCTGGAACTATGCCAGATTCATACTTCTCTCTGACTGCCTGAAATGATACAGGGGTTCTTAATGAGGGCAATTATAGCAGAGTCTGACTGTAGCTCAGAGCTAAGACTAATAGTGTGTGTGTGTGTGTGTGTGTGTGTGTGTGTGTGAGAGAGAGAGAGAGAGAG